TCATCCCGGAAACCCATATTGAAGAGTCTGTTTTTGAATCTCCTGTGGAGATGAAAAAACATATTAAACATCAGGGTAAGAATAGGATAATTGCTAGATAATTTCATTAACATTTTTCATTCATTATATTAATAAATAATTATGTAAAATGATATTTATCTTACCTTGTTGTGCCCCCACGTTAGTGGCGGGCATTTAGATTTACCCTTGTCCGTCCGTCCGTCCGTATGTCCGTCCGCACTCACAGGAGAGTAATTATGTGGCTAGAGGGACAATAAATAACTGTTCTTTCTCTTTGATGTCATTCATTCCGTAATGCTTTTATGTGGCTATTTTCTTTTGTGTGGCTTAAAAGAACAATAGAGAGAACAATAGAGTAGCCACATTATTACTCTCCTGTTAGAACGTCCGTCCTTCCGTCCGTACGTCCGTTCACTTTTGTGTCGCACGTAACTCAAAAAGTATTTGACCTAGAGTCATGAAACTTTACAGGAATGTTGATCATCATGTGTAGTTGTGCACCTGGGTATTTTAGTCTATATATTTTTAGTATTTTCAGAGTTATTGCCCTAGACTTAGTAAAATTTTGCAATTTTCAACTTGTGTCGCAAGTTACTCAAAAAGTTTTTGACCTAGAGTCATGAAACTTTACAGGAATGTTGATCAGCATGTGTAGTTGTGCACCTGTGTATTTTAGTCTATATATTTTTAGTATTTTCAAAGTTATTGCCCTAGACTTAGTAAAATTTTGCAATTTTCAACTTGTGTCGCAAGTTACTCAAAAAGTATTTGACCTAGAGTCATGTAACTTTACAGGAATATTGATCAGCATGTGCAGTTGTGCACCAGGTATTTTTGTCTGGATTTATTTAATATTTTTTAGAGTTATTGCCCTTCACTTAATTTTTTTGTGTGCAATTTTCAACTTGTGTCGCAAGTTACTTAAAAAGGATTTGACATAGTCCTTAAACCTTATGGGCAGGTTGCTAAGCATATTTAGATTTGCACCTGGGGTTTCGCTTGTGGATTTATCCAGTATTTGTAGAGTTATTTCTCTTGACTTAGTAAAATGATTGACAGAACAGTGGCGCGGTGGGGGCACATGTGTCTTATGGACACATTTCTAGTGATACCTTGTGATGTATGGGAAACTTTATTAGTCCCTTATGGACTATAAGTCCCTTCGAGTTCTGTTATCTTGTCATCCGCTCCGATATGGTTTTTTTTCAATAAATATGGTCAAATTTGAATCTTTTTCCACCGCCAGTGTTTATCAAAATTTGACTTAAATTCATGCACATTCTTGGATAAAACTATTTCACTGGGAAACAGGTTCCATGAGTTGACAACTCTACAAGCGAAGGAAATTTGTCTTATTGACTTAAGTGGTCTTAATTTTTGCTTCTAACTCATGAATATAGTAAAAAAAAAATTTTTTAGAGCCAAATGTGAAGTTTAAAATCCAAACTTTCAAAAACTCTTGTATTTTAGTATTGCTATACATTTATAATGAGCAATCAAGTTTTGTCACCAATATATTGAAAAGAGACCCTTTTTTGGAAAACAATAGTTAGTCTTTATTATCTATTTTAGGTTATGTCGATGTATACAGTAGTTTCAACAAGCGTAAATGGGGAAAACGTTGGTGCCTTGTACATGAGAACAATTTTGAATGTTATCGGACACAAACGAGTGAAGTTTGCGAGTTGGAATTTCTTCTCAGGAATTGTATATTAAAGCGAGCCATCAAGGAAACAAAAAGCGAGCTTGGTCTAATGCTCCTGGAAAATAATAGGGAGAAAATAACAATAGAGGTATGTGTGAATGAAAGGAAGTCTTGAGTTTTGAGCAGATTTGAAGGCACTTTGATTTCTACAGATTTTAAAGTACTCTGTTGAAATATGTTATATACGACTCTGTCTCTTAAGTGATATAATATTAATATGAATGTTTAAAAGGCTGTTATTTTGTCGAAGTCATAGATTTTACACAATACTCGTATGTATCTTAAATACCGGTATTGGACACATACAACATGCATTATGCTTCTGAAATGTAATTTCTATGTGATGTTTGCTGTTACTTTTGAGTAATAGGGATAAACTGGTTCAAAAAATAGGACACTTGCCTGGTTAAAACCATTACTTGCCTGGTTAAAACCATTAATTCGATAGGTGAAGTATTTATGTATTAAACCCAAGATCAAGTTTAGTATAATACTAGGTTTGGTAAAAAAGTTTTACTGTGGACATTAGCACTTTCAAGTACCATTCATGAACACGCTACATCAAATTGAGCCTGCAACATTTTTAATGTTTCCGTTTTGACGTTCTTAAGGGATTCATTTTTATCTATGTTAGGCAATCTTGAATAGAAGGTGTATTTGTGTATTATTATTTTGTTATTTAGCCAATTAATTTGACATGTATTATTCATTCGGTTTGTAGCCAATTAATTGGAAGTGTATTGTTATTTGTTATTTAGCCAATTAATTGGACGTGTAATGATTATTTCGTTATTTAGCTAATTAATTGGACGGAGCTTGGTTCCTGGCTTCGTATTCTGATGCAGGAAACTAGTACACAGAAAACACCTGAAGGACTGGAAGGCTATATGGATGATACGCATCCTTATCATGAAGCTGTTGAGATAACTCGAGTACCTGATCCTATCAATAGATCTTCCTATGTAAGTCACACAATTTAACAGTTGAGTTTATATGTTTATCCAGTAAAACCTGTAAGGTGCACTGACACTTTACCGAGATATGAGAAATAATGTGTTAACCAAACTCAAACTAAACGCAAACTGAAATGTAAACACACAATCATCTTTTACAACAATAATATCGATCCTTTATTTTGCAATAAAAAAATCCAAACAAAAGATAAAGAAAAAATGAGGAAAAAGATTTTCAATGATTAGAAAAATTGCATATAGAATATTTTTGGTTAATTGTTCTAATGGTTATTGGTTTTTTTTGGCTTTACCAACATAAGAAATGATAAATATGGATCTATCTTGTGACAAAACAGATTCAAGGTCTTAAGTCTGAATTATTCTGAAAAATATCTTTCTCGCTAAATAATATGTATTTTTATTATAGTTATCTGTTAAACCAAGAGGACAATCATCATCATCATTGCCTGATGAACAGACGAGATCAGGTGGTCATGAGAACCGTGATAGTGGAATATGTTCCTCAGAATCAACTGAAGACAGATTTAATTCATTAGATAGAAACAGAAACTCTCCAAAAGTACATCCTTGTTTCACAGATTCTAGTCTTCCACGAGTTAGTGTGTGTGAAACTGGTGCTATTTATACTCAGGTGAAAAGACCCAGTGTAACTGGATCTTCATTATCACCAACAACAGGAAGCGTGAGTAACTGCAGCAAGTCAAATGAAAGCTGTAGGAAAAGTGATGAAACAAATACAAATAGTGATGATGATAATTTATTCTTTGACTTTGAAATTGATACATTTGGAAATTCATCTAATAAAAGGGGCAGCAGTTTAGTAGATGAGATAATGTGGGAATTGAAGATTCAGCACGATACTGATAAGACATCTACTGAAACTGGTGAACAGAACATTTCTGAACTAACAGACAATAATCAAGAGTCATTGACTATAACTAAAAGGAAATCAGTGGAGTTCAGTCCTATAGAGAATGATATCAGTCCAATTAAATCCGAACATGTAACGACTTCAGGAAGAGAATCTGATTTTCTTTGCTCAAGTTTTGATATAAATGACAATGAACAAGTAACAAGTGATTTAAAATGTGATAATAATGAAGAGCCAAATTTAGTAATTGATGTTAAAACATGCTCAGTTGGAAAAATGACGTCAGTGAAGAGGCATCCTTCAAACGTGTCGGCTAAAATAGATGTCACAGAAACTTTAGCAGAGCTGAGAACAAGACTTGTACAGCTTAAGAAAGACAGGTTAGTCCATTTACTTAGACAACAATTTTTTTTATAAAAACATTGGATGATGTTACTTTTGATATCATGAAAGGGGAAATGAAAAGTCTGACTAAAATATTTTCATTAATTAGATTTATTCCTTTTTGGTGAAGAAATACTTCCGTTTGTTTGTATGTATAAAGGTTAAGTCTTTGAAATAATTCACATTGATACTTGAACATTTACATATTTTGCCGTAGAGTTTCAGTAGTGTAACTGAATAAAGAAATGATACGCTTTTAGTCAGATGCAAGCGGGTTTCTTACATAACACAAACCTAAATGCTTTAAAATTCCCCTTGTGGCTAAAGTATATTTATAAAAGTCAACAAGCCATTTAATAAGGATGCCTTTGTTAATAAATGCACATTACTAACAGGTTTATTATGTCAAGTTTGCTCAAATCTTCATATAATTTTTTGAATAATGAAGACTCAATGGTATTGTTACTAGGCGGCCAAAGCTGGTTAAATTTTCCAACTCGTACATGTATATATATATATTACTGTTTTGAGTCGTTACGTCAAAACCTTGGCTATCTTACTGAGGTAAATATATTTTACATATTATTTTCAGAATAAGTATCAGAGACAGAAAACAACAGATATCATCAGAGAGGGATAGAGAGTTCCTAGAAGCTGAATATGAAAGGTTAAATAGGGAGTGCAAGAAAGTAACTGAAGAAATAAAACAGTTAGAACAACCAGTTGATAAAATTGTAGATGAATTTAAAAGAAATTTGAATTTAGATGTGGAAACCCAAGGCATCAATGAAAACAAAAGAGAAAGTACATCTTGTGATAATCTAGAAATACAAGGTGATTCTGGTGTTGCAAATAAAAGAAGTGTGTTGTGTGATACTGTTAAAATGAAAGAACTGTGCAATGACGTTGATTGTAACAATGACATAATTTCAAGTACCACTGCAATAAAACAATTTGACCCTGTTGTAAAACAACCTACTGATAATGTTTTAGGCAAGGATGGGAATGTAAGTAGCACTGTTTCAAAACTATATGAAGATAGTCTTTCAAACAGTACTGAAATGTCCAGGGAAACATTAACAAATGAAAGTACAGAATGTATTGCAGACAATGTAACTTTATTGGAAAAACAGTTAAACTATTCTGAGTTCCAACAGAAGGATTGTGATAGTGAAAGCTTTGATACAAGTGTTTCTAAGGAAGAAATATTATCTAGTGATCCTGTAACTAAACATTTTATTGACACAGTAACAAGCAAAATAGTGTCAGAAAAACGACAAAATGAAATTAAGGATACTATTGACGATGAAATAAATACAAACTTGGACATTTTACGGAACAAAATTCCCAGTGCTGATCACACTGTTAATGATTGTCGGAATGGCGAAGAAATTCAAAATACTTGCAAACGTGTGGAAGATTCTGTCTGTGATAATTAAAGTGTGCCAAATGTAGCTGAACCTTTCAAAGCAAATAAGGATTCTAATAATTTTGATAACAAAGAAGTCAAATCTGAAATAGAATAAAATTCTTGTTCTACTACTGGCCTAAATATTTATTTAATAAGAAGTTACAGAATGTTAATTTTAAGATCATGTCAATCAGATGTTTTATCACTGTATGCATATTACATTTATTTCTTCTTAGAAATGTAAGTGCGATGTATTTGAAGATGTATGAGTACACTGAATATGATATTTAATTTTTTTAAACTTTAGATTTAAATCACAACCTTTTTATTTTGTTAAGACTTTATATTTATGACATTTTAGCATATTTATAGCACAAACTTGTGAAAAATTTCTATATAGTAAATTCAAATTTGAAGTTTTAACACCAATGGCTTATATAACAATGTAAAGTTTAATGGATATGCTAAAGTTCAGTTTCATAAAATTTTGATATTAACAGTAAACGAAACCTTTACGCGACCAAGATTACAAATTATAAGTTTTACAGAACTGTAATCATTAGAAGGACGATAAATTTTATTTATGTATCCAACGATGATGTGAAATGTAAATGATTTGTTTTTCAAAGAGGCACGAAATGTAAATTATTTGTTTTTCAAAGAGGCACCCACCTATTGTTGTTCTTGACTATAAATTTACTGCCATAATTCCATTTATCCATATGACTGTTTATCTTGAACTGACTAAAAGTTATGTATTTGTCCAGAATATTAAAGTATTTGATGGAAGCTAATTTTAGATAATCATGTAGTTCGACATAAAAACTGCTAAATTGACAGTATTTTTAATTAATTAAGTTCGCTTACATAATTCAAGGGCTTTTTTATTAGTTCTTATAATTTTTAGCGTTTAAAATTTGATCAGAGTAATAACGTGCTGGGGATTAATTCTTGTTTCAAATGAAGGTACTTTACTAAATCATAATAGAAAACAAAAGTAAACACATGGTTTTTGCTTTTTTAAAATTTTATTTGAATAATCCATTTTTAAATATTGATGACATATCTGAAATAATAGTTTATAATATAAAATGAATTTTAAATCGAAGTATGCTCGTTTTGTATATTCTGTTACAAAACGTCTATGAATTTTTAATCTATTGTTGGTTAATCTTACGTTAATATAAACAATTTATGTCTATGTTACAATTTATCATTTATACTCGTTTAATGGGTATTTTACAATTATTTGTGCTCTTGTGTTTTATCAAACGTTAAAATAACATGTGTAACGCTCTTCAATACAATTGTTATACACAAAACTTGTTTGGTTTATTTTTGAATAACCTGCTTATATATTCACAATGTAAAGTTATTCATTCATTAGCTTGTGATTAAATAAAAAAGGGACTATAAACCATATATATCTGTATGCGATAAAAAGTAAGTGAAAAATATTGCAAAACATGATTCTAACAATAAACACATACTAACTTAAAGATAAATTCAAAAGAGGTTGTCAAGAAAATCATTGTCATAACATTGATATATTTAGCTAGAGTCATTATAAAAAACATCCATCAACTATGGTAGCCTATCCATTGAACACATTTAAGTTAAAATGCATGCATTCTATTTAAACAAACATAAAAGAAGTTTGAAAATGTTTCACTGATTGAAAGTTTCTTTCATATCTTGATCAGATAAAGTTATTTTCCTGAATTAACCCATTACTGCATGAGCATTTTGTGAAAAGCTCAAATTTCTATAAAACTATAAAAACTGCTTCAATGCTAATCAAACTTGGCACAAATGTTGACTAGACAATTGCCTTTGTAACAACATGCTCAGTCTTTTATTTTCTGTTGCCATGGCAATGAGGGGACATCTCAAAATTGCCAAAAATCACTATTTTGCGTAGATTTTTACCATCAAAATTGATTTCAAAGTGCTGCAACTTCTCAATGGATTCAGATAGAGTCAAACGCTTTTCAGCGTTAGTTACATGTTACCTTATGATCGACCTGGGGCCATTTTCAGCCTCTCACAAGTCCAACATTTTCTTGGCGATGAGGAGGACTACCGCCCCCCCATTCAAACCCCCCAAACAGAAGGGGCACATCCCCCTTCTGGCAACCCCCTGATGTACCTTTTTAATGGGGATCAGCGCCGAAAAAAATGATCACTTTTTTAATCAATTCTCAAACGAAAACATGTGTTTTGGGCCCAAACATGACATTTTTTCAATATTTGAGGCCTAAAAGAGGGGAGGGGGGATCAAAAGTGCGTTGTTTCGCGTATATAAGAGGTAAAGGGTTAAGACAAATATTGCCAACAATTACTTATAGACAATATGAATAATAAAATAGAAGCTTAATATGAAACTATGAAAATCTAAATTAACAAAAGTCGGAATTTATATATACACACAATTGAAACGTACAACAATATAGCATTTTTTTAGCAAATAGTATCTTTTACAGTACTATGTAGAGAATTTAAAATAATTTGAATCGTGGAAAAATATATCAGAGGCTGTTTTGCCACATCCAAATATTATAGAGATGTCGAGTTGAGAAAACCTGATAAATGGACGACTATTTTAAAATGTCATTGTTTGCTAATCAAATTTTTATAGTAACCGAGAACATGTCATGCTAATTGTGTGACGAACCCTAAATGACGCGAGTATGGCCAAGTCCATTTTGAAATGGCCTGGTTACAACGTTAGTCAACGGAAAAGAGTATAATTCTAATATCTTAACAATATAATCGACTTTTTGCAAAAAAGTGAAACACATGCCTCCTGAGTACACATCACATCAAACTAGACTTGTTTACTAATATATTAAATAAAGCATGAAATGTTCAAATTTGTTGGGACATACATGCTTTATCCAGTTTTAAACACAATATCCTTGTTGAGTTAAACTAACGCAAGCAAACTCTTATCGGACGTATCATATGTAAAGTCATGGGTTATCTTTCTTTTACTTGTTTTAATGATTGAATAAATACAATGGCTATGAACATTACTGGAAAAGAAATGTTATGTTAGTTCCAATAGGAATTGTTAAGAACAAGTATATGTTGAAACAATATATGTCAGTAAATTGAAGAAAATATAAATGATGAAAATGATTGTGAAAGTTTTGGCAGTTTATGTCTTTTAAGTATCAATGTCATACTTCATGACATTTAAATGAGTATCTTATTCATAGGAATGTTGTGTCTTAGTATGAAAGCTCATGCTTTTCGAGAAAATGTTAATATAGGCAATGTTGTCTGAAGACAGAAAATTCGATGAACCTACCAAAACAAAAGATGATATGTCTTCTTATAAATGAACTGATTCATGGTAATTATAATATATAAGTCTTGATACAGATCAATCCTTTATTCAAAAGATTTACCAATTATGAAGAAATTTCCTTTCATAGTAATGTTCAGTTATCGAATACTAATGCCTTACTTGTAAGTTCAGATGGTTTTGAAGTTGATCCTGGAACAGACAAAGTGGAAAGGAAGGGTAGGTGATTTTCGTTTTCTAACTTTTTAGGGGGCCAGACAAAATTGAACATTATGTCATACAAAAAGGCATATGCATGATAATAGTTCCGACATGAATTTGGTTCATTTCTTAAAAGTTTTGAAAGTAGGTCATTCTGCAAGCTAAGTGACCGTCTCTCAATTAAAACGTACAACAATATAGCATTGTTTTTAGCAAATAGTATCTTTTACAGTACTATGTGGAGAATTTAAAATAATTTGAATCGTGGAAAAATATATCAGGTCATGAAAACGAGGCTGTTTTGCCACATCCAAATATTATAGAGATGTCGAGTTGAGAAAACCTGATAAATGGACGACGTTTTTAAAATGCCATTGTTTGCTAATCAAATTTTTATAGTAACCGAGAACATGTCATGCTAATTGTGTGACGAACCCTAAATAATGCGAATATGACCAAGTCCATTTTGAAATGGCCTGGTTACAACGTTAGTCAATGGAAAAGTGTATAATTCTAATATCTAAACAATATAATCGACTTTTTGCAAAAAAGTGAAACACATACCTCCTGAGTACACATCACATCAAACTAGACGTGTTTACTAATATATTAAATAAAGCATGAAATGTTCAAATTTGATGGGACATACATGCTTTATCCAGTTCTAAACACAACATCCTTGTTGAGTTAAACTAACGCACGGAATTTAATGGTAGCAAACTCTTATCGGAAATATCATATAGAGAAGTGCGCCTAAGTGTAAGGCTGCGAAAATTTGTGCTCCTTAAATTTAATTTATTGTGCTTTAACGAATAAGTAGATTTTGCTGGAAAATTGCATAGTGTCTTATTAGTATATTAGAAATATTGTGTGTGAATAATCCTTGGATATTTCATTTCCTAATTGGATTCTGATATCAAACAATTGGATATATATATAGTTAGAAGACAATATTTTGTAAATATACATGTATGGTGATATAAATTTTAAACCTGGATATAAAATAGACAACAATGTGCTTTATACGATACAATAGAGATCAATTGTTAAAACTAGCAAAACCACCCCGAAGGCAACATGGATTAAGTAATGATACCATTTCAAACTTTAAAGGATTATAATCTTTTTCAATATAGAAATTCTAAAGGTGGACAAAATAATAAAAAGAAGAGAATGGGATACAAATCAAGGCATTCACCTGAATAATCTGAAAACACTTAATCAAATTATACCTACAGTTGAATCAAACAGTAAATTACAGGGGGTCGAACATAAAACCAGGAGAAAAGTTGATTAAGGAAAATTTGATTCAAGTTAAACCAAATTTCTAACACTACAGTCAGTGGTTCAAAATATATGTCAATATGTTTGATAAACTGCAGATCAGTTAAAAATAAAACGTTAGCCATCTATGACTTTATTATTTCCAATGACCTTGACATGTTGGTTATAACAGAGACCTGGCTTGGGAGTAAAGTAGACAAAAGTGTGTCTTAGTGAACTTGTGCCTGACGGTTATAAAATCTCTCATGTTCCTAGATTAAAGAGAGAAGGTGGTGGTGTTGCCATTCTTCACAAGACCTCAATAAAAATCAAAATTGACTCGTCAAGTAAAGATGGAGACTTTGAACAATTCGAATTCATGGACTGTATCATTAGTGTTCGTGACTTTTCAACCCGCCTTGTTGTAATATATAGACCTCCTCCATCCAAAACGAATGGCCTAAGTACTTCAAAATTCTTGAACAATGAGTTTCCTGATTTTCTGTCGAAATATGCTGAAACTGACAAAACCACAGTGTTTCTAGGAGATACAAACTTTCACATTGATAAACTTGATAATCGTGATGCGCAGAATTTCTTATCCATCCTTAACACATTTGGATTAAAACAGTTAGTCAATGAACCGACACATGTAGCTGGACACATTTTAGATGTAGTCATAACAAAGAAAATGAAAATGTAGTATCTGATATTAAAAAACTGATCCTGGATTTAAAACTTCAAACGGAAAAGTAACACGTGACCATTTTGCTATCCTAATGAAAGTTAATGTTTCGAAAAACCACCACCTATTCGTAAAACAGTCACATACAGAAAATCTCGTGATATAAACATTGAAGATTTCAAAGCAGATATTAGATCATCTGAACTTTTTGGTCCTAAACCAGACAGCATGGCAGAAGCATCAGAGAAATATCACACTGTCCTTTCATCTTTGTTAGACAAACATGCACCTGAGAAAACAAAAACAATTGTTCTCAGACCCCAATGCCCGTGGTTCAATCAAGAAATACATGACGAGAAACACATTAAACGTAAACTTGAAAGAAAATGGCAGGAATCAAAATTAACTGTAGATCATGAAATATACAGAAGTCAGTGCTTAGTTGTAAATGATGTAATTGAAAGATCTCGTGAAACATATTACAAAGACAAAATAAAATCGTGTGGTAAATGATCAAAAAACAAATTTTCAAAGTAACAAATCATCTCCTCGGAAACAAACCTGAAGTTAAGCTCCCATCACACACTTCTGCTAAAGAACTAGCTCAAGATTTTAGTGATTTCCTTGAAAACAAAATTGAAAAAATCAGATCTGACATAGCATCTAAAAATGAATGTAATATAACAAATGAATCTAATTCAACTCAAATACAAAAGCCTAAAGAAACATTCAGTGAATTTGAAGTTATTACAGAAGAGCAAGTTCTTAAGCTCATATCAAAGTCATCTACTAAATCATGTGAACTAGATCCGATACCGACTTGGCTCCTAAGAGAATGCAAACTTGAAGTATCACCATATCTAACGCACATGTTCAACTTATCATTTTACACCGCCGACGTACCTCCACGCAATAAGACTTCGATAATCAGACCACTATTAAAGAAAGACAATTTGGATCAAGAAATTATGAAAAACTTTAGACCAGTTGTTAATGAAACATATGACTCAAAACTTCTAGAATCTGCGGCTGACTGTCAGTTTGATATGTTTCTCAACACTAACAATCTACATGAACCAAATCAATCTGCATACAGGAAATTTCATTCCACAGAAACTGCACTTATCAAAGTGCAAAATGACATTCTCCAATCTCTTGACAAAGGCGAAGTTACAATATTAGTAATGCTCGATTTATCTGCTGCCTTTGACACGATTGACCACAACACTCTTCTTAATCGACTCGAATGTGACTTTGGTTTTACTGGAAAAGTGCTCGCTTGGTGTAGATCTTATCTCAGTGGTCGCTATCAGACTGTTCGTATTGATGGAGAACTATCTGACCCTGTGCATATGACATACAGTGTCCTCAGGGCTCTGTATTAGGACCAAAATTTTACATACTTTTTCACAAAAACCTGTTGGCGAAATTTGTCGAAAACATGGTCTGCAATGTCACTTTCTATGCTGACGATTCTCAAATATACATTTCTTTCAAACCGTTGGACAACACCAAAACTGAACTTGTACTTGATTCTGTCTCAAACTGCTTAAAAGAAATAACATTCTGGATGAACAGCAACATTCTCAACTGAATTCAGACAAAACAGAACTTATAGTCTTTTCGTCGGGTAGCAATACAGACTCAGTGAAAAAATATAACTGTCAATGTGGACCAAGTTGAAATCAAACAGTCATCAAGTGTAAGGAATTTGGGTGCATTCCTTGATTCAAGGGTTAATATGGAACATCATGTTAGCTCCGTGTGCAGATCTTCGTATGCCCAAATAAGTAAGATAGGACGTATTCGAAAATATATCAACGAAGAAGCTACAAAAACACTCGTTAACTCTCTCGTGACATCAAGACTGGATTATTGCAATGCTCTTCTATATGGTATACCTCAACAAACCATGAAAAAAATTCAACTTGTTCAAAATACTTCAGCCCGTGTGATTAAACGTACATCTAGGAAAGATCATATTACACCAGTGATGAAAGATCTTCATTGGCTGCCAATCGAATATAGAGTGAATTACAAGATCTTATTACATACTTTCAAGTCACTGAAACAACAATCTCCATCATATATGCAGGAAATGATTCAAGTTTATTCCACTTCCCGAAATCTGCGCTCTTCAAATGCACCTGTACGATTAGTGCAACCAAAAACTAAACTGAAATTTGGTGAAAGGAGTTTTTCGGCATCAGCTCCTAAGCTATGGAATTCACTACCAAGTCATCTAAAAAACTGTAACACAGTAGAAAGTTTCAAAAAACATCTTAAAACACACTACTTCAATTTAGCTTATGGAAAATAATCAGTGACTGTTATGAATGAATTTTATAAACAGTGAATACGAAGTATCTGTTATTTGAATATTAGTTTTATTAAAAAGTTTTATTTTTTTTTAAACAAACAATTTTTAAATCAATTTAGTATTTCTATTGTTTCATAATGATGATTTAGCAAGATCTTATCTATTATTATATATTGAAGACAATTTTTAATGTATGACAATAATATTGTAAAGTGAGTTTTAAGGATCTTTAAGTTATATTGTATTAATATGTAAAAATAATTCCATAATTTATACTTTTAATTAGTTAATGCAAAATATTTTTAATGTTCATAATCCTGTTCATTTATATTGTTTTAGACATATATGATTGATGTAAAGCGCCTTTGAACATTTTAATGAAAAGGGCGCTATATAAATGTGGTATTTATTATTATATTATTATTATGTAAAGTAATGGGTTATCTTCCTTTTACTTGTTTTGATGATTGAATAAATACAATGGCTATGAACATTACTGGAAAAGAAATGTTATGTTAGTTCCAATAGGAATTGTTAAGAACAAGTATATGTTGAAACAATATATGTCAGTAAATTGAAGAAAATATAAATGATGAAAATGATTGTGAAAGTTTTGGCAGTTTATGTCTTTTAAGTATCAATGTCATACTTCATGACATTTAAATGAATATCTTATTCATAGGAATGTTGTGTCTAAGTATGAAAGCTCATGCTTTTCGAGAAAATGTTAATATAGGCAATGTTGTCTGTAGACAGAAAATTCGACGAACCTACCAAAACAAAAGATGATATGTCTTCCTATAAATGAACTGATTCATGGAGGTTATAATATAACAGTCTTGATACAGATCAATCCTTTATTCAAAAGATTTACCAATTATGAAGTAATTTCCTTTCATAGTAATGTTCAGTTATCGAATACTAATGCCTTACTTGTAAGTTCAGATGGTTTTGAAGTTGAGCCTGGAACAGACAAAGTGAAAAGGAAGGGTAGGTGCTTTTCGTTTTCTCACTTTTTAGGGGGTCAGACAAAATTGAACATTATGTCATACAAAAAAAGGCATATTATGAATGCATGATAATAGTTTGTTTCATTTCTTAAAAGTTTTGAAAGTAAGTCATTTTGCAAGACAAGTGACGTCTCTCAATTAAGACCTAGAACCTAAGATAGCCCAGTTCTGAACACTTGCTACATAATTCATTTACTTGATCAGCAAAATAGAAAATAAGCAAGTGCTGGAAAATAAAATCCAAATAATGTATAATAGCGCATGTCAAGAAGCATAATTATGTTTTGAATCTAAATCCTAGTCATTTTTGCTAACATTTGAAATTGTTTGATAATTCTTATGCAGTCTCTTTTTGTAATGTAAGATAACTATTTTTTGAGATGATAATTTATGTTTTGAACTCTACACATGTTAGGTAAACTTATTGTCAATAAAAAACTGGTGGATCAAATAAACTTGACCAGTAATAGGGAATGAAGTTCCCCAAGAATAGTTTGGGCATTTTCTTAATCAAATAAGACCTATTTAGTGAGAATGAAGATCATAGTATATAAAAGTTAAACATAAGTTTTTTGTCCTTTTCAGACCTGTCAGGAGTGACGACAGTCAAAATGGGAGCGTTTGCTTTCAAGGCCACTCAATTCTTTGAACCTCTCGGTAAAAGGTCCTCCTTCAGGAAACCTGCCAGTGTTGGTGCAGAAAGGTCACCATCTGTTGAGAGGGTTAGGCAGTTATCTTGCTCTCAAACGTCCCTGAGTGAAGTGTCAGAAAAAACAAGTACAATCATCCCGGAAACCTATATTGAAGAGTCTGTTTTTGAATCTCCTGTGGAGATGAAAAAACAAATTAAACATCAGGGTAAGTAGCAGGCAATTTCCAGATATTTTCATTAATATTATTCATTCATTACTTTGATATATGCAATGTATCTATGCAAAATGATATTTATTATTCCTTGTGATACCTTGTGATGTATGGGAAATTTTATTAGTCCCTTACGGACAGACTAATCAGTCCATTCGAGTTCTGTTGTTCCACCGCCAGTGTTTATCTAAATTTGACTTAAATTCATGCACATTCTTGAATAAAACTGTTTCAGCGGGAAACAGGTACCATGAGTTGACAACTCTATAAGCAAAGGAATTTTGTCTTATTGACTTTAGTGGTCTTTACTTTTCTTCTAACTTATAAATAATAATAATGATAGTATGCAAAATCATTTTAAATAGAGTTGAATGTGATGTATAAAATCCAAACTTTTATATAGCCTTGTATTGTAGTATAACTAAACATATACAATGATAGATCAAATTTAGAAATACTACAATACAAGGCTATATAAAAGTTCGGATTTTATACATCACATTTAACTTTATTTAAAATGATTATAAACATATACAATGATAGATCAAGTTTAGTCACCACTATATTGAACAGAGACTTTAAAATTATTCTTAATTATCTATTTTAGGTTATGTCGATGTATACAGTAGTTTTAACAAGCGTAAATGGGGAAAACGTTGGTGTCTTGTACATGAGAACAATTTTGAATGTTATCGGACACAAACGAGTGAAGTTTGCGAGTTGGAATTTCTTCTCAGGAATTGTATATTAAAGCGAGCCATCAAGGAAACAAAAAGCGAGCTTGGTCTAATGATCCTGGAAAATAATAGGGAGAAAATAACAATAGAGGTATGTGTGAATGAAAGGAAGTCTTGAGTTTTGAGCAGATTTGATGGCACTTTGATTTCTACAGATTTTAAAGTACTCTGTTGAAATATGTTATATACGACTATGTCTCTTAAGTGATATAAAATTGATATGAATGTTTAAAAGGCTGTTATTTTGTCGAAGTCATAGATTTTACACAATACTCGTATGTATCTTAAATACCGGTATTGGACACATACAACATGCATTATGCTTCTGAAATGTAATTTCTATGTGATATTTGCTGTTACTTTTGAGTAATAGGGATAAACTGGTTCAAAAAATAGGACACTTGCCTGGTTAAAACCATTAATTCGATAAGTGAAGTATTTATGTATTAAACCCAAGATCAAGTTTAGTATACTAGGTTTGGTAAAAAAGTTTTACTGTGGACAGTAGCACTTTCAAGTACCATTCATGAACATGCTAAATCAAATTGAGCCTGCAACATTTTTAATGTTTCCGTTTTGGACGTTCTTAAGGGATTCATTTTTATCTATGTTAGGCAATCTTGAATAAGAGGTGTATTTGTGTATTATTATTTTGTTATTTAGCCAATTAATTTGACATGTATTATTCATTTGTTATGTAGCCAATTAATTGGAAGTGTATTATTATTTGTTATTTAGCCAGTTAATTGGACATGTATTATTATTTTGTTATTTAGCCAATTAATTGGACGGAGCTTGGTTCCTGGCTTCGAGTTCTGATGCAGGAAACTAGTACACAGAAAACACCTGAAGGATTGGAGGGCTATATGGATGATACGCATCCTTATCATGAAGCTGTTGAGATAACTCGAGTACCTGATCCTATCAATAGATCTTCTTATGTAAGTCACACAATTTACAAGTTGAAATTTATTTTTATCCAGTAAAGCCTGTAAGGTGCACTTACACCCAACCGAGATATGAGAAATGATGTGTTGAAATTGGTCTAAAACCAAACTGAAACTGAAACTAAACGTAACTTGAAATGTAAACACACAACAACTACTTTTACAACACTAATATTGATCTTTTATTTTACAGTCAAACAAATCAAAACAATTAAAAGATAAAGGAAAAAGGAAGAAAATGATTTTCAATGATTAGAAAAAAATGCATATAGAATATTTTTCATTAATTGTTCTTATGGTTATCGTTTGATTTTGGGTTTTTGAATATAAGGAATGATAAATATGGATCTATCTTGTGAAAAAAAGATTTAAGGTCTTTAGTCTAAATCATTCTGCAAAATATCTTTCTCTCTAAATAATATTTATTTTTATTATAGTTATCTGTTAAACCAAGTGGACAATCATCAGCATCATTGCCTGATGAACAGACAAGATCAGACGGTCATGAGAACCGTGATTGTGGAATATGTTCCTCAGAATCAACTGAAGACAGATTTAACTCATTAGATAGAAACAGAAACTCTCCAAAAGTACATCCTTGTTTCACAGATTCTAGTCTTCCACGAGTTAGTGTGTGTGAAACTGGTGCTATTTATACTCAGGTGAAAAGACCCAGTGTAACTGGATCTTCATTATCACCAACAACAGGAAGCGTGAGTAATTGCAGCAAGTCTAATGAAAACTGTAGAAAAAGTGATGACGCAAATAGATATAGAGATGATGATAATTTATTCTTTGACTTTGAAATTGATACATTTGGAATTTCCTCTAATAAAAGGGGCAGCAGTTTAGTAGATGAGATAATGTCGGAATTGAAGATTCAGCACAATACTGGTAAAACATCTACTGAAACTGGTGAACACAAAATTTCTGAACTAACCAGTAATAATCCAGAGTCATTGACTATAACTAAAAGAAAATCAGTGGAGTTCAGTCCTATACAGAATGATATAAGTCCAATTAAATCCGAACATGAAACAACTATGGGAAAAGAATCTGACTTTCTTTGCTCAAGTTTTGATGAAAATGACAATGAACAAGTAACAAGTGATTCAAAATGTGATAATAATGAAGAGTCAAATTTAGTAATTGATGGTTAAACATGCTCAGTTGGAAAAATGACGTCAGTAAAGAGGCATCCTTCAAACGTGTCGGCTAAAATAGATGTCACAGAAACTTTAGCAGAGCTGAGAACAAGACTTGTGCAGCTTAAGAAAGACAGGTTAGTCCAATTTACTTACACAACGATTAAAATAATGGATGATGTAACTTTAGTATCATAAAAGGGGAAATGGGAAGTCTGACTGAACTATTTTCATTAATTAGATTTATTCCTTTTTGGTGAAGAAATAATTCCATATGTTAGTTTGTATAAAGGTTAAGTCTTAATTCACATTGATACTTGAACGTTTACATATTTTGCAGTCAAGTTTCAGTTGTGTAACTGAATAAAGATATGATACGCTTTTAGTGAGATGCAAGAGGGTTTCTTACATAGCACAAACCTAAATGCTTTGAAATAATTTTGCTTTATAGCTAAAATATATCTATAATATCCTACAAGCCTTTTAATAAGGATGCTTTTGTTAATAAAGCACATGTAATGTTAATGCACATTACTAACAGGTTTATTATGTCAAATTTACACAAATCTTCATATAAATTTTTAAATAACGATGACTCATTGGTATTGTTACTAGGCGGCCAAAGCTGGTTAAATTTCCCAACTCATACATGCATATATATATTACTGTTTTGAGTCGTTACGGCAAAACCTTGGCTACCTTACTGAAGTAAATATATTATACATATTACTTTCAGAATAAGTATCAGAGACAGAAAACAACAGATATCATCGAAGAGAGATAGAGAGTTCCTAGAAGCTGAATATGAAAGGTAAAATAGGGAATGCAAGAAAGTAACTGAAGAAATAAAACAGTTCGACAACCAGTTGATAAAAATGTTGATGATTTTGAACGAAATATGAATTTAGATGTAGAAACACATGGCATCAACGAAAACAAAAGAGACACATCTTGTGATGATGTAGAAATTCAAGGTGATTCTGGTGTTGCAAACAAAATAAGTGTGTCTTGTGATACTGTTACAATGATAGAACAATACAATGATGTTGATTGTAACAATGAAATAATTTCAAGTACCACTGCAATAAAACAATTTGAACATAATTTTGATCCTGTTGTAAAACAACCTACTGATAATGTTTTAGGCAAGGACGAGACTGTAAGTAGCACTGTTTCAAAACAATATGATGACACTTTTTCAAACAGAACTGAAATGCCCAGGGAAACATTAACAAATGAAAGTACAGAATGTGTTACAGACATTGAAACTTTATCGGAAAAACAGTTAAATGATTCTGAGTTCCAACAGAAGGATTTAACTAGTGAAAGCTTTGAAACAAGTGTTTATAAGGAAGAAAGATTATCTATTGACCCTATAACTAAACATTTTATTGACATAGTAACAAGCAATGAAGTGTCCCAAGAACAACTAAATGAAATTAAGAATACTGTTGACGATGAAATAAATACAAACTCGGGCACTTTAAGGAACAAAATTCCTAGTGTTGAACACACTGTTAAGGATAGCCCAAATGTCGAAGAAATTCAAAATACTTGCAAACGTGTGGAAGATTCTGTCTGTGATAATGAAAGTGTGCCAAATGTAGCCGAACCTTTCAAAGCAAATAAGGATTCTAATAATTTTGATAACAAAGTAGTCAAATCTGAAATGGAATAAAACTACTTGTTCTACTACTGGCCTAAATATTTATTTGATAAGAAGTTACAGAATATTAATTTTAAGATCATGTAGATCAGATGTTTTATCACTGACTACATATTACATTTATTTCTTCTTAGAAATGTAAGTGCGATGTATTTGAAGATGTATGATTACACTGAATATGAATTTTCATTTTTTTTTTAAACTTTAGATTTATATCAAGACCTTTTTATTTTGTTAAGTCTTTATATTTGTGACATTTTAGCACATTTATAGCACAAACTTACGACACCAAGATTACAAATTATAAGTTTTACAGAACTGTAACAAATAGAAAGAAGATAAACTTTATTTATGTATCCAACGATGATGTGAAATGTAAAGGATCTGTTTTTCAAAGAGGCACCTACCAGTTGTTTTTCTTCACTATATTTTTTACTGCCATATGCCATGATCCTGCTTCCAGTAATCTATATGACTGTATATTCTCACAGTTACTAAAAGCTGTGAAGTATTGGTCCAGAGTATTGAAGTGTTTGATGAGTTGATTTTGCATAACAATTTTGTTAGGCTGAAATACTGCTAAATTGAAAAAAAGACCTCGCTTTATAAAATTCAAGGGATATTCTTGATTAGTTCTGATCATTTTTTCTGTGTTTGACTAGAGTTATAACGTGCTGTGGTTGAAGTCTTATTTCAAATGCAGGTACTTTACTAAATCATAACAAAAGTAAAGGCAAGATTTTTGCTTTTTAGATTTTTATTTGAATTTCAATTTATAAATATTGATGACATGCATATCCAAAATAATAGTTAAAAATATAAATGATTTTAAATCGAAATAATATGCTCGTTTTACATATTCTGTTACAAAACTGCTATTACATTTTTAATCTATTGTTGGATAATCTTACGTTAATATAAACAATTTATGTATATGTTACAATTTATCATTTATACTCGTTTAATGGGTATTTTTACGATTATTTGTGCTCTTGTGTTTTATCAAATGTTAAAATAACATGTGTAATGCTCTGCAATACAATTGTAAAATACACAAAAATTCTTTGGTTTATTTATAAATAACCCGCTTATATGTTCACTCTGCAAAATTATCCATTTATGAGCTTGTGATAAAATAAACATAGGTACTATTTGCCATGTATACTTGTATGCGATACTTAGGAAGTGAAAAATGTTGCAAAACATGATGCTTACAATAAACACATATCATACCTTCTAATGTTAATTCAATACAGGTTATAGAGAAATTCATTGTCATAACATCAATATACTTAGAGTGATAAAAAAACGTCTTTCGAATATTGTACCCTAACCCGTGAACTTGAATAGTATTAGTGTAAATAAGCTATAGTTTTATTCTAGATTATACAATAAGCACTATCTTACAATTTTACTGAAGTATAAAGTCATCTATCATATTTGAACAAACTTATAAAGTTATACATTTTTCATTTAATGGGGAATATAAGCTAAGAGACAAAGTTTATTACTCGCTTTCTGTGTGAAATAACGCCAAAAATGAATTAATATGTACAAACATTTACTTCACAAGAATGTCAAACAGCTTTTTAAAATGTAAATCTAATTTACATCTTAAAACAGTTATTCAGTTTAATAGTCTGTATTATCATTTGATAATAATTCTCATTTATTTCATAAAATAGCTACAAACGCCTTTTTATGGTCATTAAGTATTAATAAATGAATATCACTTATGTATTAACAAAATGATTAAATGCTTAAAGGGACTCCACTGAGGTTTTTTGACATGATGGGACTGAAAATATTTTTTCCAGATAAATGTACCATTTGATGTAGGTGTAGACCACAAATCTTTGTGCAAACTTTCAGATCATTCGCGCACTTCGTTTTTCCATAATAATTATTCAAATTGTAAAAAAATGACCCAAAATGAAAAGCGTTTAAACGCTTTTCTCTCAAATTAAGGCTAAGAAAAGCATAAAACTACGATTTTCGATTTATTTTAAAGTATATTTCTTAACTATCTTTGCAAATATTTATGTTTAAAGCGCCCAGTTCATTTATGTAAAAAATTATTCTAATGTTATGTTTTTAGGCTTTTAAACCTCAGTGGAGTCCCTGTAAACACAGTACAGTTATAAAGTATTTGGATGATGAAAATTGGAAATACAATTGTTTAACAACAAAACATAGTATGATATTTATAAAAAAACAACATGTACAGAAAATAAAGTAGACTAAATATTTACATGTTTAGTGAGACGTAGCTATGAAAATTACATTCCTTTTAACAAATCATTTTTTGTAATAAATGAAGGAAGTCACATACCTGGAATTATCCAATAAACAATTTATCCAAATTTTACAGTTTGAACAAAAGTTTATTGAAGTAAGAATTCATCTGAACCTAATAAATGATTCCTTGTCTTTTATTAGCCACAGACTTCTAAGGCGACATATTGCATTATAAAAGATCTAACTCTAGGACATTACTTATTTATAACCATTTTTCTTTTTGAAACTGTGAAAAATTCATTGAAAGATTTCGTTTAAACCAACAGCAAAACTGTTTTAGCTTGGGGTTGGATAACAGCTGAAAAAGTTTTAAAAAAGAGTTCCAGGATATGTTGTTGTACGTAAGTAGGTTTTGACATCTAGAGTATTTAAAAGCTTTATTTCAATAACAATCTATTTAAACACCAATATTCAAATCCCAAGTATGTGTTTTTGATATGAAAAGTTTGGAAGAAAACAAAGTTACGGTATGTGAAAAAAAAATACTTTCAAATAATTCATTAAACACTATTTCTAGTATGATATTTGTAAATATAAAATACAAAAGAATGTGCATGCAAATATGGGGCATAACATCTTGAACTGATTGAATTAATTTCATTTATTAAGAGTATTATCAGTAATAGTATCAATTACTTACATACAATATAAATCATAAAAATGTAAGCTAAATTTTAAACTATGAAAAATCTAAATTTACATGGATGCATAGAATATGAACAATGTAAAAATTGTGATCATGAAAGGGACTCCACTGAGGTTTATGGACATGGCAGGACTGGAAATAATCTTTCGAGATTAATATTCGATTTGATGCATGTCTTGACGACTAACTTTTGAATTTGTTAACTTCAGATCATTTACTCAATTCGTTTTTTTCAGGGTCTTAAAAAAGACCGAATACCAAACGCTGCAATACCTTTCACTCAACTCGAGCTATGATTTTCACTTTATTTCCGTGTATATTTCTGTATTATCATTTACATATCTCTCTATTTAAGTGCCCTATGACCAATGTAAGAAATTGAAATTTTATGTTCTTAGGATCTTTGATTTCAGTGGAGTTCCTTTAATGCAAACATTCAGATATATAATAATTTATGACTGATCTGTTTAGCTATAAAGAAGAAGACAACTGGCACACATACAACCGTATTATAAAAGAACTAATAGAAAATACATGTTTTTGCATATCAACTGATGTTAACGATATATTTTGTATCTAAAACAAATAAAAAAAAAAAAAAAAAAAAAAAAAACAATAACAAGAACAAATGTAAAATTAACAAATTAATACACTTATTTTAACAATTAAGATTTAAATCTGCTTGAAGAATTATAAAAAGTCTCAAATTTGACTAACATGCATCATAGTCATGATAGTTGTTTCTTGAAATCAAGTCGCTCTTGGGGTGGGGGCGGGGGTTTGGTGTGCTTTATTTTAAAATGTGAAATTGTATTCAACTACACGAAGAAAAGGAAGAAAATCTTTATTTGTACAAAGGCCTTTTTACATCAACATTTTTTAAATATAACATTAAAATGTTTATCAGTGAACAATAAAAAAATTGTTTCTGTTTATGATAACCGAGAACATGCTAATTTTTGGGACGAAGCCTTAATTTGACGTCAATATGGGCGAGTCCATTTTGAAATAATCATGTTACAACGTAGGTTAACGGAAAATAATATAATTCTAATATCTTAACAATATAATTGACTTTTAGCAAAAAGTGAAAACGCCTCACGAGTTAGCATCGAATTAAACTAGACTGTTTACTATTATATTTAAAGTAAAACATGATTTTTTAAAATTTGGTGAGACAGAATAAAGCATGATTTATCCAGTTTTTTACACTTATTAAACTGGCTTTAATAAATTGTAAAATATAAGGTAATCATAATATTTTTTCTTGAACAGTTTTCCTACAGTTTGTTTGGAAAAGGAGACATTTTATTATAACTATAACATTTGAGGAAATTAATATTATCTTTCTGTAAATGAATATGAATAAAGCTGGTGAGTACAGTGAAAATGCATAGACTGTCCATGTTTGTGAAAAAATGTACATTGTAAAATGTCATATAATCTGTTCACTCTAAGTAAATTGTATGAAATGTTAGTTCATCGTAACGTGATGATATGAATAATCTGGAATTATTTTTGTCAAACACCATTTTATCAACATCCCGTATATAAATCTGGTCCATCTCTTTTTTGTCTACACATATTTCTGTGAGTACCGTCATGTCAGTGTTCACCTGTAAAATCCTGAAGTCCTCACCCTGTCTCCCAAATACGAATACACTGTCCTCAGTAGCAGCACACATAGACAGACGTAGAAATCCTTCCTTTCTTAAATATTTCAATTGCTTAAGTCTGGAATCCTCACATATGATACAATTATCGGCATAATTAGAATACAAAGTACTGATATACTTTTGTAATGAACATGGTAAAATATTCTCGGCAGCAATTCCAATGAGTTCAACTCTTCTCTTTATATTTAGATTTGTATCTAGAATTATTAATGATGCCCCATAAGTAAAACAGTAAATCTTATTCTTGAAGAAGGACATATTTGTGCACTCAAACCCCACATCTATAGATTTGATGAATCGAAGACTTCCACTTGATATTCTATACAATCTTAATTCTCTTTTCACAGACATCACCACATCCCCAGTATTAGTACAGCAGATATGTTTTGTAGTATCCGTGTCTTCTTTTATATCAGTATTGTAGTAACATTGGTATTCAAAGTCTGAACTGATATGAATAATAACAGTTTTATATATCTGAGATGTATCGATGGAATCATCTTCATCATCATCAACTGATGATACTATTATGTTGGCTAAATAGAGAAACGACCCATCTGGATGTTGACACCATTTTGACGTCCCGTAAAGTGTCACATTTTCAGGAGTTTCAATTATATGCCTTTGGATCTTCTTTACTCTGTTATAGGATGATGTGTTCGGACTGAAATATAATAGTAATACAAGTACATGTATAAAACAGTATTATTGACAAATGTTGTCATATGTTGTCATTATTTATTACTAATGCAAAACATGTTAATCTCCTGGAATTACATCATCACGAAAGTGCTTATTTACTAAAATAAAATATTAATGTGTATGTTTTAGACCCTTCAGAAAAGATGATACAGGTATGTGTGTGTGTAGGTATACTTGAATAATTATAATTAAGGGCAAAGATTTCCAGTGGTACGTTTAATTATCTGTACTTCAAGTTGAAACAGCATTATTACACCCTAATAGAACTAGGCAAGATTAAATTAACCTATTTAAGACCGAGGGCCTCGCATTAAAGTCACACTTCACTTAGCCTACAAACATTTGAAGAGTAATAATCCGTGACTATCTTTCTTGGAAGCGCATAACGATGCGCACAAAAAAACTACCGAAAACGTCTTTAAGGTATGAGCCCCCTAATGATTATAACCTTAATATTCATCACGCTCATTGTCATCGAAATTGATTTTACTACGTAAATCTTCATCGAAACCGTGAATATAATCGCTTCCGTAATCATCATTCCTGTCATTATTATCATCATTAAAAACTTATCATTATCACATTCATCATCACAATCAGCATTATTTAAAAAAAATCAACCGCATCATAATCATAACCATTACAATCATCATCAGCATAAATCATTATTTCTTCTATTAATTACACCAAGATCATAATTATCATGTCTTTCATCGTCAAAATCATAAATTCCATTTTAAATTTTATGGATATGTTTTATTATCGTATCAAAATCAGCTTGGTTTGATCAATGTCAACAGCATCATCATTATTTTATGGTAAATGATATGAAGTCCGATGTCTTTTTTCCATTGTATTTCAATATAAAGAGCAGGGATGGATATTGTTGCTTCATTCATCTCTTGGATATTTTTACATTTATTTGTTTTTTTACTATAACACTGATAAACATTTAATAAATTCATGTAACTTGATAAAACTGTATACCTCTAGATGACCAGAAATATTTCAAGAAAATCGAAATACAGGAAAATGGGCCTTTTACCATTTTGTGGCCATTTTTGGTTATTTATTTGAATCATAATTTGTTTGTTGTTTCACTTTACAATATTTTACTTTAAATATATCTTCAAAATATTGAAGTAGATAAACATGAATCTTGAGGCATAATGCTTTAATTATAATGCCATAACGAGCCTTCTTTGTGTTTTTACAAGAAAGACATACATTGATTGGAAGTAAAAGGTGCTTGTTATCGCAAGTCAGGGTACATATTGAACTGTAAAGACCCGAAAGTTAGAAAAGTGATTTTATCAATTGTGTTGAATTTAATAAATATGATTATAGATACACTTTCGAATCTGTTTTATTTGGAAACCAGCAAGTTCCGAGCAATGAGCTCAAAATACAATGGCTTGTCCCTGTTGGTATGAACCAACACAGCTACCGGATATATAACCACCAAGCAATTCTGCAAATTACATCAGAAATAATACTTTAAAGCATCTCGAATTCATAATGATGGTGTTGTAATGATGGCACTTATGAGGATGGCACCGATGATTGTGTTGATGATTTACTTGTGATAATATTGATGGATGATATATAATGATGTTCTATTGAAGATGACGATATAAAGATGCTGTACTGTTTATGATGATGAAGATGATGATCTAACAATGGTGTAACGATGATAATTTTATGAAGAAGAAGAAAAAAAGAAAAACAAGCATATATCGACGAAGAAGAAAAAAAGTGATGATGAAAATGCCGATGACTATGACGATGACAGTAATAATGATGATTTCTGAAAGCTTAATTCGCTGCAATTCTAGTATGATGTCGACTGTAAAAATGCACTCCTGAGAGCTAGATTCGTTCACAACCATATGCGGTGAAGAGATAATCTACAAACAACACCAATATTTGTGTGTATTTGAGTTTATTTATACGCGCCACCGGTTGCCCATATGTGTGAGTCCTCCAGAAGAGTATTAGCCTTCTAGACACCAATATACATAATGACCCTTCATTAATATATGCTACATAAGTAAATAATAACAAATAAAACACAATATTCAGAGAGCTATGACTTTTTCAATTTGGTCAGCTGGAGAAAACAATTTGCTAAAAGCTCGTTTCAGCTTGATTTAGTCAAAAACTATGGAATCTATCAAGCTGACAAGTTCGCAAAATGTAGCGAATAAATGTTAATCTCTAGTGGTTAAAGTGTTTATCACATAGTCCTGCTGCTTGTCCTACTCTGTAAAGTTTGCTTTTGTGGTAAACTTCCTTATTCCAGTTACCTATATAACATATAGATTCATCGTGGCAGATTTGTGTGTCATATTAGTTTTCGCCTCGCAACCCCGCCAAGCGAAAATTCGAGAATGAACTAATTAAAATGGCCAGGGAGCGGAGTGAAAACACGATTATCAACGGGGTGGCGATAAAACATCCCCCGCGGGGGCGCGGAGCGAGATTTTAAGAGATAAAACGTAGGGGACGCGGAGCGAGTACATGCTAATTTGACCTTCATTTACTCAAACACACTGTGAAATGAGAAAAGTTTAAAATGATGCTATACATACAATTTGTATCTTTATTAAATGTCCTATGACAAAAATTAACTTTATATTGCGACTGTTTTCATCGAAGACGACTGCAGATGTTCAAAATAATTGCGGCATACTGTTTTACGATTTTAACGAAGTAATGATTTTTCAAATGACTAAAAAATGAGAAAAGAATGCCATTAACACCAAACATAACAATTTCTTTTCATGCAAGCTTACGAATATCATTGTATATTAAACGGAATTATTTATGAATTAATTTATCTGAGAAATAAAGTAGAGATTTAATGATTAGGAATCTCAATACAAGTGTTTTAAACATTTAGAAAAAAGCACTTACACGAAAATCAGTGAAATATTTCTTCTTAAGTTTATTAACTTTTAAAAAGTCGGTGTTATATCTGATTATTATACATTTCGGTCCGACGGATGTTCTTGCACCCAATTTTGCAATTCCTCAACACTTTTATTTCGGACTTATCGAATTCAAAAGGTCATAGTTCTTGGAACAGTTTTATTGTCCTATGTGCATTGTTTAATAGAGATCCCATGTATCGCAATGAACGTACTTTCTAGAACATTACATATTCAACTCGCTATAATTAAGAAGATTATGTCTACTCAGTTTTAAACCTGATCCTTTAGATATGTCCTTTCTTTATGCTTCTGTCATTATTTATACAAACAGCTAACATTTGAAAGTCATCTTAAGCTTCAAACCCCTATTTAAGTTAAATATAGAAATCTAAGTAAAAGTATATGCATATTCTTAAATCTCTTGTATGTTTATGGCTTTTTGTTGTTTCGGTGTAAAAATAAAATATATTTTACCTGGGACAAAAATAACCTTATTTGCCCCAGATTGAAAATAAAAATAGGTCATCATTATAAAAATTCTGCTTGTTACAAAAATATCAATTACCCTAAAACAAACACAGACCATTAAATATCACCTGGAATAGAACAAACCGAACAAAAGAGGACTTACCTTATTCCAGCATACACTACAGAATTACAATCTGAAATAATATATAAGATCGTAATTTCTGCCTTTATGCAAACAAGAATAAAATCAATTTGAATACATTTATATGTAGATATCTAAATCCAGCAAACGTTAATATTACCAAATTTAAGAATCAATATTGAAACAAATATTCGGAAAATTTAAAACAATGATTCATAAATATACTGCTAAATAGTATAACATTTCATACGAACCTGTCGATGACTCTTTCTTGATTTTAACAGAACAACCTTTCGGTAATTCAATGACAGTTTCCAGCATTGGATGCTTCGAATCGTGAACGCATGAACTCAACCGGTCTGTTAGACATGTGATGATCACGTTTAATTTGCCATCTTTGACTGCCGAGTAGAGCATATCAAATTTCCGCAACCACTTTTGAATGACGGACATTTCGAACATGTACTTTCCTCCAAGATCTTCGATGATCACAACACAGGTAACACCGAATCTAATACAACTGAGATCATCCGGTTCTGTTAGTATGAGATAATGACCATCTTGATATGACGACAGTAGGGAGAGAGCAAGCGTCGTTTTTCCACTGCCACGTGGACCGGAAATGACGATTACCTTCCTTGAACGGAATGCTTCCAATGCGTTTTCCAGTAAGTGTTCATCTGCCATCTTTGCTCTATGATGTTTATTGTAGGCAATTGATTGAACTGCAAGAAAGAAAAACGAACATTCGTCTTAGATGACCATAGTTAACAGTTTTTATCGATGTCTGACCACAATATTTCAAACATAATTTGAAGTATCCATATTTGTGTACAACAATATTGATGCTATGATAATTAGTTATATATGCTTGCTAAGTCTTTTCACTAGTAATTAAAAATCTGAATTATGCCTACCAAGTAAGTTTTTGTAGTGTGGATCTGCTTCAACCTGTGCCATACAGCTTTCATCTAAAATAAGAAATAAATAATATCTTACCATTTACCTTAATCAATAGCTTGTTCTTATCCTACACCAAACGTACATTTTAAATTTTAGGATTATGACCATGTATTCTAAAGGATTATGTCAAATATCTAGATCTAGATGTTTATAAAAGGAAATAATACACATAACAAATAGCTGACTTACTACAAATAAGTAAAATATTTTGTCATAAGTAAGTAGTCAGATACAGAAGCCTTTAAAACATGGTTATATTTGTAATAAATGAAATGAATTATCGTAACTAAATGCGTGTACCTTTAATAAGGTCCACAGGTGAGTCTTCAGTGGTTGGTTTGTAGACAACGATTGGTTGTTCCATCATCTCATGACTGAAATGTCGTTTCCATTCTTCTAAACTTGATTGGTCCATTATTATGACAACATCTAGCACATCGTCATTGTCGCTAGAGGTAGTTGTCTCTACAATGTTATCCGCAATTGAACGAAAGTCTTTTGCCTTCTGTAAATCAAATGTACCTTCGCCAAATGGGTGAAGGAACACAACTAACTCGGCATCTTCATTACCGATGTGACGCCAGTCAGTGGGACTTGAACATAGGATGCTTCCTCCCGCTTCATATTCATGGCTCTCAATAGCAGAGAGTGCCGCTTGTAGATATAGGCCTTTGCCGTATCCTGACACGACTACTAGGTGATTTTCTTCGATTTCTTTAATGATTCTCGTAGTTTCTGGCGGAGGTGTAAAGTCACTGTCAAGTTTCTTCGTTAGCAGAGACACAAAGTTTTCTATTTGAAAACATAAATTCAGTTACACAAAAATGTTATTGCATAATGCATAAATAATAACAATCAAATAAACATTGTTTCAAACACTTATATAACACTTATATAAAATTTTATGAAGAGGGTATAAATTCTTAAATAACAAGTATCAATATTTACTGTCATACATTGTCTCTATGCTTATAATGTTGGTTTCAACGACCACTAAATCATAATGGCATTAACATTTTGACAAAAACTTTAAAATTCTTAAGAAGGCTTACCTCTCATATTTTCAAGTATATGATCAACAGTTTTGAAACGTTTCGTAATTTTACCTCCGGCTCGTGTTCGCTTGACAGTGGTTTTCTTCAATGTGTTCACGGTTTTGCCTGTATCTTTTTTTATTTCGTCTATCTGATCCTCAAGGTGTTCTATCTTTGTTTCTAATTTTACGATTTTGCTCATGTACCATGACCTTAGCACATCTCCTAGATCTGTTAATATAGAACTTTCTACCTCTTTAATATCTTGTTCAATCTTGTCTGCATAAGATTTGCCCTTAATGGATAATGTAAGTTTACAATGTTCACATTTAATTTGTTGTATATAGTCTTAAATTCTTGTTCAGTTATTTTACACGTACCTGCGATATGTTGGAGATCATTTCTGATTGTCCTGATATTTTCGATACACATAAGATCATTTTGGGTTAAGTTAAAAATGTTTTTCAACAGAGCAGTTAATAATGTCACATCCCACGCGGTGATATCTGTTTGACCTTGACCTGCAGGTGGGAACAACAAATAAAATTGATCCTTTCGTAGAACACATTTTGGCTTTTGGGTAAGTTTATTGATATCCTTTCTCCTGAACGCTAAATAAGCATCTAATGTAGTGTATGGTGTTTGGAGATTAGGGTCTGCGGCTGCCTGTTTTAGAAATAACTCCCGCAGAGGTTGAGGACATATGTTAACCAAAATGGTAACTAGCCGATAATATTTATCCGTCATTTCGTCCTGAAACATAAAAAATACTAATCAACCAAGGAAGAATTTGGCTGCAAAAGTAGAGATGTAAACCTTACACAATGCTTTAAGCTTGGACATATAAAAATGTGAACAGAAACAGTACAATATTAGTAATATTAAAAGCGCATTTTCTGTTGTACATAGGCTATTTCCAAAATGAATAGAAAACATCCATAATTATTTTATTGATCTCTTCGAGAATGATGTAACAGGAATAACTGCCAATATAGAAAAATATTTTTAAAAAAGTTGATTTCTTTCTTCATAATGATACCCGTTGTATCAACATCCTAAAGATCTTTTTCTTAAACATGATTTGCCCTGTCATTTTTGGTCATTTTTTGGTCCCCTTTGAAACCATAGAGCTAACTCCTTAGCGACATGACTACCTCTTTCACTACAGAGCTGTCTTCAACATAAAAATATCCTATATTTTGTTTATTAACCAATGTTTTAATCTGATTTCAATCTTAATTTAATTCTAGATCTTATATCTACTTAAAACGTATTTGTTTTTTTTATATCTGAAATGCTGTTTACATGAAAATGGGAGGATAAATAGTCCGTTTAATGATGAAACGGTCCATTTCAACCTGGAAAACGCCATTACAACTACATTTTAAACACAAGTATAACACTTTACGTTTTCTTGAAACTTTAATCAAATCTACATGGCAAAGACTTCTCCGAATTTCGATATTTGGTGTAGACTTTACAAAATATATAAAAAATGAAAACACTTGACACTTGATTTTAGCGGCATGCACTAGCTCGGAAGGAACTAAAGAGCGATTAACCGTATACCTCTAAAAGAGGTAGCTCTATTATTTACCAGGCGTGAAATTGTTCTCCTGCAAGTGATTAATGAGCTGTTTGAATATAAGTCTTCCAAGAATGTATGCTTCATATTTGGAGAGAGTAGTCAGAAAGGTTACATAAAGTAACAGAAGGTCCTCAACAAGCTTCTTTAAGAATGATATTACTGATTCTATCAGCCCCATGCTTTGTCATGTACAATTAAACTTATAAAATACATAGACTCAGAAGTATACTACAACATAATATTCCTTATATATATATATACCTTTTTGTTTTAAGTAAAAATTAATTTTAATAAACTATACTTCTATTAGTAATTTCTGAAAAGGAAATGTAGCTGTCAAGTAATAATTTCATGACAATCGGAGGATTACGTTATTTTTGCAAAACCGGCCACACCTTTAATAATTTTGGTTCCCATTTCCAAATGCTAAGTTATATACAGCTGAGATCGGAACCAACGTCAAAAATAGTTCGGCATTTCCATATCTGGTACCGTATTTTCTATTCGTTGAAGTGTATTTGCACTTAAATATTTGCGTGCATTTTAGGATATAAAATGATTAGAATTATATGGAACTAATATCGCATACTTTAGCCTTAGAATTTCAAAAATCCACATTAAGTCTTACTTATTATGTTACCATTAAGCCAATAAGATAGACCTTAACAACACATTATGCCTCCGAATGAATGATTTTTTTAATTTTATAAAAAGAAACAAATGAGTAAAATTATGTTGTAATTATGGATTAAGAACATGTGAAATGCTTATAACCTGAAGAAATAACCATTGAATAAGAAATTAATTGTGAAAAATGTAGCAAAATATAAACACAGTGGTATTTTGACTACCATACAAAGTATACAATAAAATTTTATTGTGTTAAGATTTAATTTGTATAAATATGCTACATTGCACTAGAAACCGTTTCAGTCTAAGTGCGAGCCGTGCCGCTGTTGACTAAAGGAATGTTATACATCAAATGTGGGCACCCGTTCCACAACATTTTCTTCACAGATACAACATGATAATAAAAACATGATATCTTGTTGCAGTTGCCGAAACAGTCGGAGATACAGAGTATTAAAACAAAATAAAACACACAGAAGTGAACATGTTACCTTCCCTTTTATGTTCGATATCATATATAAATTTCAATGACGTTTAGTTTTACATATAAGCAACGAACGATGATATTAAACGCACAATTTTATTCATGCGATAACAACAACAACAACAACAACATTTATTCAGCATAAAGCAATATCTAACATCACTTCTAGCCTACATATTAACATCTGTAGTAGTTACACATGAAATATAAACACTACCATAAGACAAGAGAAAAGTCACAAATAAACAAGAACAGTAATTTAAGAGAGAAACTGTTTTGTTTAGTCAGAATTGGAATAAATTATTAAGTACAAAATGTAAAAAAGGAAAAATAAAATATATGAAATAATTTTTTTTTTCAAGAAAAACTAGATGAAAGCTGATAATTAGTTATTCAAGTTCTTTTCGAAGTTTATTTGCAAAGTATAAGTATTTCGAGAGATTTGCTATTTCTTTTTTATTTTTTGTCATCATCAAATGATAAAACGATTGTAGAAGAGTCTAGTCCAAATCAAATGTGCTCATATTTGTTTCCTAAACCGATACAATGATAATTATTTCATTATGTAAATCTTAAACCGTTTCAGTGTGACAATCATTAATTAAGATTCACTTTTGATCAATTATTATTATTTGTGCAACGTTTAACTAAGTTATAAGAGTAATAGTAATTAACTGATAAATAATAATGTACTTATAATTATGTACTTACACTTAAGTAGCTGAGTGTCTTTTTGCGCCGTGTTATCCGCTTAGAAGCGCGCTGTAAATGTAATTGGTCTTCTATTGAAACTACGCATTATAAGTTAATTAGCGGAACAAATGTGCCAATTATAGTAACAATGGGGTATTACCACTGCCAAATTTAGCGCAAATATCGGGTTTTCCGTGTGATCTATTTTTGTTACCGTTAAATAAAATATTTAAAAAAACTATAGTAGAAATGTAATGGATATTTCATAACAAATAAGAATAAAACTACCATATTATATATAGAGGCTATTCAAGTTTTTTCTATAAATACATGCTTTATTTTCATTGATTGGTATGAAAATAAAAATTTCACTCGTGGCGGTAGTCAAATCATATATTTATAGAAAAAAATCTTGAATGTTCTGTTTATTTTATCTCTTTTTTCATTGCAATTTGAAGGACTTTCGCTTAAATTGTGTGCACTGGCAAAATTTAAAAGAAAGTCCATCAAACACCAGTGAAAATACGGAAAATATGTATCACTTTAAAGAAAAATAACATTTTACATTGAAATTACGGAAAATGAAAATACGCATTTAATTTCATCGATATTTCTCAATATTTAATTAATTACTACATTATAAGTATATTTATTTACAAGATTTGCCTAACCTTACGTGTATCTATTTACACTTAAAATGCGATTATCCAGACATCAGAAATGAATTAAAAAATAATATCATGAGGTAAATTCAACTATAACTTTTTTAAATACACGTTAAACAGTTAATATACAAAAAAAACAAATCTTCAAAGCGAGTTCTTTGACACAATTTATATTACATTCAACGCTATGTGACACCGGTGTGTGTGTGTGCGTGCGTGAGAGTGCGTGTAGTTTAATTACCCTCACCACCGGGAAAAACTATTTTGGCGCGAATATACTTCATTTATAACAGGAACATCAATGTGGAGCTAACATATACTCAATTTATAGATATATCAGTACATTTATCTATGTTTGTTCCATAATTGCAATGTTTCTGTGTGTTTGCAGTGTGACATGGGAATAAGAGGGGAAATGTCCCATACTAAGTAAATAAATAAGTATCATATACTTTCTATGTCTTAAATCTTACAACATACTTTGCTTATTAAAATTGACAGATGCACATTATAATATACGGTCGATGTTCTTAATAACAGAACTTTTAAAACAGAAACATGTTTTAGATAAATGCATATCATTTAATGTCGGTCTACTTAAGAAGCATGTCAGGAAGGTTTCCCATTTTCACTGTGGTCTATATTTATAATAAGTAAAATACCCTTAACTCCAAAACTACTAATGTTTTATAAAATAAAGCGAAAGAGGACAAACTCTGATAATTTGTCTTATGGTTAAATAAATAAACTATGTACTCAGATATGTGTACATTGTAATTTATATTAGCTTACGATCCCAAATGTAGCTAATAATTATATGTAACCCGTAATAAGATGAGATAATCTTTTTAAACTTATTTAAAAATATCTCAGTTTTCAAGCCGTTCTTCCTAGATTACCGAGTAAGCTATGTTTTTGTAGGTTTGAATACACATTGCAGGTATCTTACTAAAATTAGGGAAAAATTTCGGGGGGGGGGGGGGGTAGGAATATGTATAATATGGAGCATTATGGATATAATGCAGCCTGAAACCTCCAAATTGTGAAGATAACCTCAAGACAAGATTAATGTTGAATACATTAAAGCTATGATATTTGAAAATGGCAGATCAACTCATATGGATAATAAAATTTATAACACAACAATTGAACTTGTTATTTTTTTTTCATAATCTAGGCGTGCATTTATTCAGAAATGTTAGTATTTGTAATACAAAATAAAGTACGCAGAATTAGTACGCAGTCATCATACAAACATTATAAGACTGATTAACACGTATCAGCTTGTTAATACCAAAACAATGCGTGATTGTTAATTACATTTGTACAAGACAATGACGATAAAGTTTAATATCACTTAATACTTTTATCATAATAATTATTCAAGTATAAAAGACTCCCAATTACCAGTTTGTTTTATATATAATTATAACACCGTAGTGACTTTAAAAAGAATGGTAACAATGCAATCACAGTTTGATAAAAATGTTTGAATTTACTCACTAAAGTAATTGCCAAGAATGTTCTAATTGTAATGGTTTCCATATAAATAATTTCAGTAAGTCCGTTTTACATTTATACTTTTCTTCTTCGCTTCTCTAAACAAGAAATAAAAGCTTAGTTATCAATGTGTTTATATATTGGATATTACTGAATTGCATACGTACATGTAAGTATACTTTTACCAATTAGCTTCAGACATTTTATAATATTTATGAATTTTAATTTATCACAACAGGATCCATTACGTGAATAAAATCATGTTTAGAAAATTGATATAGAAAACGTACACAATCTTGATAACCTAAGAAACCTTTTAAATAATATATGAGGGTTGTTCAAAAAGTAGTAGGACTGCAGGTCTTCTTCATGCTTACTTACAGAGACAATGTGTACATTAATATAATAAGTATTGCAATTTGTTCTATGTTACTCGTATGCGGTAAGAATATCACCGGAAAATGACCGCTTATAAGTTTTTTCTATCATTTAAATTTATACATATTCATCAAAATTTTTCAGTACAACGTCGCAATGCATCTGTTTAAAACAATAATAACTCCTTGTAATGATTATTTATGTAAGCATATTTATTAACAGACATTTTAAGGTTTAATCAAGAACCTTCACGATATTCTTTGAAATATATGACTGTTTAAGTATAACGAATATTGTAGTTATTATCAAACGCATTCCCCTCTGGTATCAATATTCATAATTGACCGACCAAGTTTACGTTAAGTAACGTTGAAGAAGAAAAAAATATAATATTTATATTAAACATCACTATCGATTATACGTTTGGGATTTTAATACATATAATGTTTATTGGAGTTATAATAATTATAAAGTAAAAATATCTATGTTTTCATTATAAGTGATAATTGTTTCTTTTAAATCATAATTCTGATATCATTTTATCATGTTTTCATTATTTCAACTAATACAAAATTGATGTTTAATTTGCTTAATTTCTACGACACAAAAACTCACTGGCAAGCACGAGAAAAGTCTAAATAAATTTTTAAAAAGGCATTTGATTTGACGGTAATGCTTCGAGACGTTTTAATCATGTACAGAATATTTAGTTGTTATATATGTGTTGAAGATGATTTACTATATACAAGTCTGAATAAAGAAATGTTCTGTTCTGTTCATGTTTATATTGTAGAGAATTATATTGTTCTTGTGATAGAACAGAACAGAACAGAACAGATCTTTTATTTCTGATTTGTACATAGTACATCATCATATACATAACATAATAATATTTGAGTAACATGTAATTTTCAGTGCAATCAATATAAAGAAATTAATAAAATAAATAATATAAAGAGATTAATAATTGTAATTGTAACAATTGTCATTGTTCAGATATTTGTTATTAAGCCTCAGTTAAGTGAGGATGAACATATTTAAGAAGAAAAATCAATATCAAAACTAATTTTTAATCTATCATTAAACTTTATTTTTAATAAACTAAATTTTTATCTATCATTGAACATTATTTAACACTGTAGTTCTAATAGTCATAGCATTTTTGTAATATAGTGCTAATTTACATAGCTCATTTCTATTAATACTTTGCAGCAATGCAATAAATTTGTACATACTTGGGTTAACAAAATAATATCTTTTAATATAAAGGGTACGAATACTTGTATAACATGGACATATAAGAACAAAATGAAATTCATCTTCTAAGTCTCTTAAAGAACAACATTGACAATACCGTTCATTTCTTTGTATTCTATTTCTGGCATATCTACCAGTTTGTATTCTTAAGCTGTGTGCAGAAGTTCTTAATCTAGTAATAAGTCGTCTCAAATGATCAGGCAATATATCTAAATAATTTTCGTAACAAAAACTAATTTTACACACATTATATAATTCCAATACAGAACTTGTTTCTTTAGATACATGCCACCCCTGTATAAAACAATCAATTATTCGTTGTCTAAATATCGGGATAAAGTTTTTAAATACAATATCATGTGGGTTATTCCAAACATCTGCAAAACCATAGTCACACAAAAGCTTTTTAACATAGGCTACCCAGTTACATAATCCTTTATTACAATCATTTAATGATAGCTGGTAAACTGAGCGTAAAATAATATTGTCTGTGTGCAGCAACTTAAACCAATATTTAACAATGCGTACATAACGGGATATGAACAAAGGATATCTTCCCAACTCTCCATATACACTAACAGTACAGGTAGTATTTCTTACTGACAATATATTTTTACAAAATTTTAAATGTATTCTTTCAATTTGTTTTGATTTTGTAAATCCCCATATTTCTGACGAATAACTCAAAATTGAGCCAACAAAAGAATCAAATAGCTGACATAATAACTTTGGTTTAAAACTATACTTTTTACAATTTAAAAGCAAAACATTAAGCGCCTTTAAAGCTTTACCTACAATGTATTCCTGATTTAAAGTAAAATTTCCGGTGTAATTGAAAACTGTTCCTAGATAATTAAAATCATTTACTACTTCAATATCATTACCATCATATGTCCAAAACTCATTTCCTAGTAAACCGCCTCTTTTCCTAAATACAACAATTTTAGTTTTATCTATATTTACTTCTAATCCCCAACTTTTACAATATTCATATAATTTATCTAAATGCATTTGTAATTCTGACATTTATAGGAAATACAATTTTGTTTATAGCATGACTGTTTATTTACAACGGTTCTGAGTAAAACAAACAAAATGTTATGTAAATGTTTTCTTGTCTGCTATAATTTCAAAATAAAATAACGTTATTATGTACATATAGTTGTAGTGAAAAAAGGACGGAGTAATCACGCACGATGCTCAGTGATGATAAAATTTAGTCTAAAAGACTTTAAATATAAAAGGGTTTAAAGCTCCACGGCTCCAGATGAGCCGACAAAAAGAATCCATTTTGAGAAAATGTATTTAAGAAAAGTAAAAAGATTCAAGTA